CAGGCTACCATGAACTTCCGTTGCCCTGAGGCTGGTGAGGGTATCCTGCTCGGCGGTGATATCACCAACCCTGCCCTGGCCCAGATCGTCGAGTACCTTAAGCCCCTCGACTTCCAGTTCTTCGCTGCTAGCCCCGTTGTCAAGGAGCACCTTGAGGCTGCTACCAAGGTTCCCGTGCAGGTCATTGAGTTCCCCAAGCAGGACAAGCGTGCTCTGCGTGAAGTCTTCCAGAAGTACAACATCCGTGGTACTTTCAACCTTGCCAAGACCCGTGGCAAGTCCCTCCTCGATGAGGACTATGTCATGAGACGTAACGCCGTTGACTTCGGCGTTCCTCTCTTCATGGAGACCAAGGTATGCAACCCGTTCCTCTTCCTCTCCACTTGTTTTGATGCTAACTGTCCTTTCTAGACTGCCCTCCTCTTCGCCCAGGCCATGAGCGAGAAGCTGCCCCGTCCCGATGGCATTCCTTCCGAGGTCCGCACCTGGTCCGACTTCACCGGCGGCAAGCTGCTGTAAACGCAAGTTTACCCACCAAAAGGACGAAAAGTTTGATTTCATAGATATAATCACGGTTTTGTGTTCGTTCATCTTTCCAGGAGGCACAGAAAAGCCGCCGTGTTTGGCGTAGCGGTTAAGGCTCCATGTTGATAGATATGTTTACTCCGTCTCTAAAAAAAAGGCGATATGAGGAATACGGTCATGTGCTCTGTGATTATCTTTTTCTGGTTTGTTGGCCTTGTGGATGATTCCTTCTGTTGCCTTCTGCTTCGCAGTCTATAGGTTTGTAGGCCGGCTTTGTGCTTGAGCGAAAGGTCAATTATTCTTGATTCTAGTTATATGTAGTATAGCCTGTCAATTATATCCAATTTCGATTTCTGATATGATCTTGGCCAATGTCGTGCTTCGTAGTTGTAGCAGCTTCATTATGATGTGATTATAATCGATCAACACTATAAGCTATGCTCTTTACCATCATGGTTGAGAGAAGTAATCCACCAAAGTTGGCCTGCGAGGCGGTTGACTCAGCCACACAAGTAGAGGAAACCCGGTCTCTGGCGTCACGGACAACCTTGAGCTTGACACAGTATGCGTAACCTATGTTAGCATCATACTACTTCGATTTCCATCTTATTACGTTTTGAACAGCAACGTACCACAAGTTAATTGTATAGAAGAAACCCTCGAGTAGAAACATTTTTCCATTCCGAGCTCGTCCACGCCAAGCTTAGACGAAAAGGGAAATAATTCTATAACCTCAATGATATACAACCCCAAGGACAACACGAACAAACTATTCTGCCTCCAGCAATCCAACCAATACTCCAGACTAGTACATGGAAACCCACAAAATCCAATGAACACAAAAACCGCACCCCAGCCCGCCCCAGGTGGTCTAGGACGAGGCCTCTTCGCCTCGACAGACATTGCCGTTGGCGAAGACGTGCTACACATCCCCGTTTCATTCGTGGCAGTCCTAGACACAGAACATCTAGGAGAAGTGTGTTCCGGCTGCTTTGGTCAAAGACAGCTCGAAGAGGAAGGGATTGCTCTAAAAGGGTGCAGAGGATGCGGTGTTGTGAAGTACTGTGATAAGGTTAAAACTTGCCCTCTCCACTCTCAGAATACAATCACTAACTCTCCTCGCAGACATGTCAAGCAAAAGACTGGAAACTGGGCCACTCTTTCGAATGTACCATCTATCAGAAACTGAAGCCCCGTGTTCTACCTATCAACGCACGAGCCGTGCTCCGCATGGTCTTGCGTAGTGAGCGCCAAAAGTACTCCGGCGAGGAGCTGGACCAGTTCCTACAGCTTGAGACGCACATTAAGGATATCCGTGACAAAAGTCCCTCTCAATGGGAGCGTATATCCCTTACCTCGAAGGCGATCAAGGCCTACTCTGGTACGGAGATGAGTGAAGAGGTCATATCTGCTATGGGAGCTAAGGTACGTACATACACCACACCCACACACGACGTTATACATATACCCTTCGAAAACAACTCACCTCCTCTTCAGCTCGACCTCAACTCCTTCAATCTCACCAACGCCGTCTACGACCGCCTCGGCGTCTACCTCCACCCATACGCCGCCATCTTCAACCACAGCTGCGACCACAACGCCGCCGTCAGTTTCGACGGTCCCAATCTACACATCAAAGCCATCCGACCCATCCAAAAGGGCGAGCAAATCTTCATCACTTACATAGACGTAACAGACCCCTATCCAATTCGCCAACATAACCTCCAATCTCGATACTACTTTACCTGCCACTGCTCGAAATGTACCTCCGAAGCAGCCTCTCCAACAGCAACGACCCTACACCCTGCACAGCAAGAAGCCTACAACATCATCCAATCTCTATCTACTTTAGAGAACCCCACCAAACACCTCCTTCAAGCCCTCACCACCCTACAAAACGCCACCATCCCTCCAACAACCCAACCCTCCATCTCCCTCCTCGACGAACTCATCACGTCCCTCCTCGCCCAACAGAAATACAAATCTGCCTTCGCTTACGCCGCGGCCCGATACCGTGCCGTCGATCCCGTGGTGTACCCGCTCAAGGGACATCCCATCCGGTTGTTGCATGCGTGGGTGTTGGCTAGGTTGGCGATTCATTTGTCGCAGGGCGTTGAAGTGGAATCTACTACTGCTGCTGCTGCTGTTGCTGGCGAGGAGATTGCGTTGGAGAAGTACGAGCTGAATTTCAATCTGGTTATTTGGTCGGTGTTGGCGGCGTTGGTGGGGATGGAAGAGATCGGGGGAACAGGGCCTGGGTTTTGGAGGTTGGTGAAGAGGGAGTTTCGGGCTGTGAGGGGCGAGTTTGTTGCTGCGGGGTTGGATCCAAGGGGTTCGAGGGAGTTGGAGGGGGAAATTGAGAGGGAGTGGGGGAAGGTGGATAAGGTAGTTAAGGAGTTGGGGTTTAATCTATAGGGAATATGATGGGAAAGGGTGTGTGTGCAAAATAGGAAGGTTCTACATCTAGACGAGAGTGACTTAACGATTGAAAATGATGAAAAGTTGAAACCTTAATAATTTAGACTGACTGCCGAAGACAGCAAAGCCTACTTAGCCTCTGCGCTCGCCCCCTCTCTCCCCCATCTCCAGGGCTTGGATCGTGAGAAAGATTTAGGAAGGATCCGGTTGGGTTTCTTTCTTTGTTTTTTGTATCTTTTTTCGTTCTCATGATTGCCGACAAGACCTTTATATTGAGATGCAAACAGCTGACCCGCACTTGGACATACAAGGTAAGAAGATGAGAACCCAAAGAAATGCCATATGGGTATCCATCCAGTTTTGAATTCTTTTTTTCCTTTATCCGTAGATCCTCCCAGCAACATTCCGTACGCCCGAGTTCCTCCTCCACACGACGAGACACTCCATCCAATAAAGCTTTTCTTCTTTACTTGAGGGGAATGAAACGGGAAGAGTGGGTGGCACCGATACCGGGACGACCGTGCTTGACGGGCTTGCTGTGTGGTTGTTAGACATATCTATTCATATGTATAGTTTGCTTGCGAGTATGCAAGATGAAGAAAATTGTGGGCATGGGTACGTACTAGGAGATAGAGAATTCACCCAGGTAGTGGCCAACCATCTCGGGCTTGACTTCGATCTGGTTGAACTCCTTACCGGAGTAGATACCGATGACGCTGCCGATCATCTCGGGGACAACGATCATGTCACGGAGGTGGGTCTTGACGAGGTCGGGCTTCTCGTTGGGGCGAGCCTCCTGCTTGGCCTTGCGGAGCTTCTTGATGAGACCCATGGGCTTGCGCTTCAGACCGCGGTTGAAGCGACGACGAGCGCGGGCGTGAACGACATCACGGAGCTGTTCGGAGGAGAGGTCGAGGAGCCTGTGCAGATAAACAGGTCAGATTTCCATTCCATATCATTTCCTTTCGGTTCTTTCGATAGTGTGATATATTGCTTCCTTCGGTCGTCGACTCCCACGAGGATATTCCGCAAATATCCATAAATGTCCATATTGCTGAAATCGCTCGTTCGGAGTCGAGGCCGTCGGATCGGAGTGCAGTGTGGGTTTGACAGATATTCATGGTGGAACGTACTGGTCGAGGTCAATTCCGCGGTAGGAGAACTTGCGGAACTGTCTTCTCTTCTTGATCTCTGTATCCCGGATACGTCAGCGCCTTATGTTCCCTTCACTTCATTGTTGCGTGGTTCTCGTAGTTGGTGTGCGGAAAAAGCAAGAATAGAAACGTCGACAGAGAATTCGGTCCGTTGCCCCCCATCCCTTCCTCAAAATTTCCCAAGTGTCGCATCATCGAAATATATCCATATTATATCGCAGGTCCAACCAAATACCGTATCCCACAACGCGAATTCGTCTCTGTTTCCGGGGTCCAGGGTAGGGAAAGGTGATTCAAATGAAAAATTCAAAACGTACCGGCAGCCTCCTCGGCGTTCTATAGACAAGATAACGTTAGTTCAAACTCTTCCTAGTCCTCTCTAACACGGATTCTGATATCGGGAAACTCACGTAGTGCTCGTCAGCCATTTTTGCGGTGTTCCTCTCAAGGTCGCTTTCCGAACGGGTCTCGAAAAGCGAAAGGACGATGGGTTGTCGTGTCGTGTCGCTGATGAACGTACGTCGGGCGTCTCTTGTGCCTCTGCGCTGGGTTGGGAGGTGGGCTGGAGCCTCGTCTAAGCGACCCGTCTAGGGTTGCGACCCTACTACACTAGGCCGCTTTGGGAACCCATCTATAGGGCCGCCGGTCCAGCTGCCCTAAAGATTTGTATGGGGTATGTATGGACTATCAATGGATCAATTATCGATTGGGCTTGGAATCATGGTTCTTTTGGAGCTTATTGGCTTGTTGTAATGATTTCAATGGTCTCTTCCACAAATTTCGACCAGCACTTACCGTTTTTGGTAGTAGTTTTATAGAGCGTATCTAGAAGTTACACAGAGAAACCCGCGCAAAGAATCCCATACTACGTACTTCTTACGAAATGTAATGTCACTCAATCAATCGGGAGGTCAGAGAATCTGTATTGGCTAAAGCTCTTTCCAGCTCACGCATGCATAATTCGTAACTGCATCAGAAAAGCCTGGCAAACACCGGCTTGACTGGACCAATGGGTAATTTTCCTCCCTAGACTGAAAATAACCGCCAGATTTCTGTTCCCCCACGAACTGTTACGATTTTCTCGGTGTTCGGAGTGAAGGCGCTTAGTCGAAGAGACCGAAGCCCATGTCCTCATCGGACTCCTCAGCGGCCTCCTCCTTCTTCTCCTCAGCGGGAGCCTCAGCAGCGGCGCCACCGGCAGCGGGGGCAGCAGCAGCAGCAGCACCGGCACCACCGGAGGGAACGGAAGCAAGCTTCTGGGAACCCTCGGAGATGAGCTGTTGTAGTTGAAAAATCATCGTCAGTATTCCATCTCGTAAATCGCAATTTTTGGTAAAAATTTATATGGGCGTTAACTCACCTCCTGGAGGTCCTTGCCCTCGAGCTCAGCAATGAGCTTCTGGAGGCGCTCCTCCTCAGCGTCGATGCCGACGGCGGAGAGGACGGACTTGATGTCCTCAGCGGAGGGGGTGTTGTTGCCAGCAAGGGCCAACAGAAGGTAGGCAGCGAGGTACTTCATTTTGAATCTGCACAATAACCTGTCAGAACAACTGCGCCGGGAATATCGTGGTCGTACTGTCGAAAAGTCGCAACGAAGCAATCAAGAGGGCAACGTACAGTTGTGGTGGTGAACACGAGAATCAATCGATTTAACCGCAAAGTTGGGCGGAGACTGACACGTCGAGTTCGCTGGGGGTTGAGCGATGTGATGGACGGAAAAAGAGAGAAATGGAATCCGAAGTTGAAAATCAAGAAAAGTGCGATGCGGCTGGTGGGCTGTGGCTAGTGCAGATCGTGCTAGTTCCGGCTAAGCGAGTGGGCGTGGCGCATGCGGTAACTCCCATGCCTTGGGCCCCGGTCACGTGGGGTCGCTGCTTCTAGAAGACAGGATGGCGACTTCTTGCACCGTTTTTGCCCGGCGGCTTTATCTGGTCGACCTCGTTGTTTCCAGCTATCGCTTTGTTGGCATCGGCTTTGGGCCTTAATTCACGTCGTGCTTTATGCCTGGCACAAAGACGTGAATTTGGCTTATCTCTAATCTGAAAACGATCGATTTTTAGTGGTTCCGCAACAAGTCATGAAGGTACCCCGTCATACTAACCACCGACGGTGAAACTACCCCCCTTCGTGACTACTCATATTCGATAGCTTTTGGCGCTTTCTTTTGCCTAATAGGTGACAAAATGAGTGTAAGGACTCTATGGATGGTTGCTGTTTGATGGCTTTTGCTGATCATACGACAGTTTCTCGATTCCGTTCTTTCGTCTATCGAGACGGGTAAACCGTCTCCAATCCCCCCCACCTCTGCCTCACCGTCGCCTCCTGTAACCTCTTCAAATGCTAAGACCGAGGTCCGCAAACCGGTTAACGTCTCTCGAGATGGCGCTTCAGAGCGCAAACCTCTGGTTTCTGGAATCAAGCGAAAGGCCGAGGAGCAGCTAGCTCGTCCTGCAAAATCTGTTACTCCAGCACCTACCAGGGCAGCAGCAACATCATCAACAACCAATACCACTACCACGGCGAAGTCTATCGTATCTACAGCTCCTAGACCTCGTCCGAGCGCGCCTTCTACAACAGCGACCACTGCAGTCAAGAGCCGCTCTTCAACCCCCCAGCAGAAGGCGCCTCCAGTGTCATCGAAGCCTCCCCCTAAAGGCTCCTTTGCGGATCTCATGGCCAAGGCTAAAGCACTACAAGAGAAGGCCCCGACTCAAGTTGGCATGTTCAAACACCAATCTGCCCCCAAGGAGAAGCTCAGCAAAGTCGAACGCAAGAAGAAGGCAGTGGAGGCGCAGACCAAGGACAAAGATGTGCGGTCAGCCAAGAAGGCAGGCGTTACTGCTGGTGGAGCTGCAGGCACGAAATCCGGTGACGGCAAGGTCGTCAAGAAGAGGGAACCCGAGCCATTATCCTACAAAGGAACCGCAAGACCGCCTCCGTCTACAGGCCAGCCCGAATACCGAGGAACCGCCGGTCTGCCACCACGTAAAACACTTGGCGACCGGAAAGCACAGTCTCGTTCCAAGCCTCGGATGGATGAATACCTGGGGACTGATGAGGAAGACGAGGGTGATTATGCCGATGACTACGACGACTACTATTCAGAATCCTCCGATATGGAGGCGGGCTTGTACGATGTGGAGGAAGAGGAGGCTGCTGCACTGGCGGCCGCCCGACGGGAAGATGAGGAGGAATGGCGCGCAGAGCTTGCCGCCAAGCAGCAGAAACTCGAGCGTCGCAAGAAGCTCGCTTCGTTGGCATCGCGACGATAAGAAGAAGTCCTTTGCTTCCACGATATAATACCTACCTAATCAAGCTTTTTGCTAGCCCTGCAAGCCGACTTACCCGGACTCTCACAATTATCTTGGATTTTCCATTTTGTTTTCTTTGTTTTCTTGTTTGGTTACGGAGCATCAGCGAGGAATACCCCGAGGGTGCGTTACATACGACGTTACTGGTCTTCTTTGTTTTCATTTGTTCATTTCTGTACCAATTTTGGATGAGCATCAGCGAGCGTCAAGGTGTCGATAGATGGAGGGCGATTATCTTCATTTTCACTTCACATATTAACATTGCTAGTTACATACAATAGCGGGCGTGTCTGTTACTGTCACTGTTCTCGTGGTAGCATTGAATGCGATTGAATAGCTGCAAATATTGACCACTCTCATCGTCATTGCTGGTAATGTGATTAATACATAGTAAGGATTGAGCAAAGCAATCAAGACCGGATTCTTATCGAGAAATGACCCCATCTGCCCCACCCGTAGGCGGTGACATCACTCTTTCTTCTGCTCCTACAGCTGCTGCTGCTTCTTCTCTCTACTCACTACTTACTTCTCTCTTCAATTGCTGCGCAGTCGATCTGCTCTTTATTATAGAACGCATAGTATACCATTCTACAGTTACAGATCCAGCATACTGATCGATCGCTATTTCGCTCGCCATCATGGAGTCGTCGGTTCATCACATTACAACCTCGTCCAAGGTTTTGCTGAAGAAGGCGCGCAATCTGGTGCCTCCGATGCTTGAGAAATTCCACAAAGGTAGGCTTTGACATTACAATTTCAGTGATTCACTTTACGAACTTTCTTCTGACAGATCAAAGGACAACAGGGACGTGTTGCTGTCATCGGAGGAAGTATAGAGTAAGTTCACCCCGCTCCTCTTCATGCGAACGGAATGTGAACGTGTCCAAGTTACACAGGGGCTCCCTACTTCTCTTCAATGGCGTCGGCTAGACTGGGTAAGATACTCATTCAATGCTAGTATAGCTAGCTTTTAGCTGACATGGCATTGCAGGATGCGATATGGTAGGCTGTTCACCAGAACGTTAGCCGCTGTATACACTTTCTGACAGATCACAGAGTCACGTAATTTGTGACAAGTCTGCTGCAGTTGTAAGTTTGCATTCTGCTAGACTCAAGCATGTCTGTTGTCATTGACCGTGGCTAGGTCATCAAAACTTATTCTCCGAACCTTATGGTTCACCCGATACTGCCAAGCAGCGACAACGTAAAAGATCCCGAATCTATTGACGCCCCGTCACTCGCTAGTCCCATCATCTCCATGCTTTCCCGTCTCCATTGCCTAGTTATTGGACCAGGTCTAGGTCGCGACGGAGTTACGCTCAAGGTGGTCACGGAGGTGATGAAGGAAGCCCGGTCCCGATCGATACCGTTTGTTTTGGATGCGGACGGTCTGCTCCTTGTCACGGAGGACCCGGATCTAGTGAAGGGCTACAAGGAATGTATTCTCACTCCTAATGTAAATGAGTTCAGTCGTCTGGCGAAAGCCCTGGGCATTGACGTTCCCAGCCAGGCCGAGATTGGCTCTAAGCCTGGTGGCGGCGACAAGACTAGCGAGGAGACTAGGGCTTGTGAACAGCTTTCTCAGGCTCTGGGTGGCGTTACTATCATTCAGAAGGGTCCTCATGATATTATCTCGAATGGTGTCACCAGCATTGTCTCCGACATTCAGGGCGGGCTGAAGCGGAGTGGTGGACAGGGAGATACGCTTACTGGCTCGCTGGGCACACTCTTGGCATGGAGGGCGGCTTACCATAATGGACTCTGGGATTCGGGAGAACAGGAAAATGAGAAGGAGGCTGAGACCAAGCAAGATGTCCAGGCGGAGCTGGAATCCGAGAACAAGAGGATGTCCCCTGCCACGACATTGCTTCTTGCGGCGTTCGCGGGAAGCAGTATTACGAGGGAGTGCTCTCGTCGTGCCTTTTTGGCCAAGGGACGGAGTATGCAGGCTAGCGATCTCACTGATGAGGTCCATGAAAGCTTCCTGCAGCTGATTGGGGAACCAGAGGCGTCGAAAATGCGCTTGTAGGGTTTATTTACGAAGTGATCGGAATGTTCGTGTCGAGATATATAGGAATGACATAATGAAAGGTTATTTATAGATTTAAAGTATATCTAGGTAGTGGAAGTTCTTTGTCTATAGACAGACCACACACTTTTACTATCTCTGCTATCGCACTGGGGCCGTGACTTCTTTTCTCCAAGGTTGATCCCGCATCAGATGCGAGTATCTTCTGCAACAGCGGTCAGCAGATAATAGCACCAAGGGTTGCTTTTGCCATAGCGATGGCATTAACCCTACTAGATGAACACCAAATGAGTTTGTTCGATCGAACAGTCACATATATACCATTTAAGCTCTGGTAGACATCAAAACGTAATCATTGCCTTATGTTCGGATGTCACGAGATAGAACAAATGCATATGCGACACTTCTACGATCTTGGACAGTTCGACTCCATTGATGTTGAACGTCCAATAGCCAACTTGGCCCAATTGAAACATCGCAGCCTCCACCAAACGGATATCCAGATCATAATATTGACCCTGTCTTTGACCTCCACTATTGAAGATTTCCACATACATGACGTCCTTGTTGCCAGACTAGCCCTGTCACTCACCTGACCGTGAGCGATATCAAAGCGAAAAGAATGAGAGCCTTTCAACGTAGCATAACTCATCTCCCAAATAACTCTGACCCACCCGTAGTGATGGAATCCATACTTCCAGCCTTGCTAAAGAAAGCAACAATCGCCTCCCGTCAATGCTGTGTCCGCAGGGCTGTCTCGTATTCGCCCTCCACCACCGGCACAGCCCATATAACAGGGAGCTTAATGGTCTATTTTCAATTACCTGGTATGTCTCAGAGGAACCACACCATCACCGCATACTGAGCTAATCTTGGGATGGTATCCCTCGTGACGTCGTAGTCGCGATATTCAGATACCAGCCACCATGTTTTCCGTCCTTCGGCAACGAGGATCCCAGATGATATGGTCAGATCTATACGAAGTAGACTTGATTGAATTACTCTATTTCAAGTTTTAGTCCATACTAATAATACCTCTTACCTTTGCCCCCAGATAATCAGATAACTTAGAAAATGAATATAAGATCCCCTCCCATCCCCATTTTCTAATCCTCATCCTCACCATCATAACCACAATTACAACTGCATTATATTATTATTACCAGCACATCCAAACCCCACACCTCAACATGTACTTCTCAACCACCTTCACCCTCCTCCTAGTCACCACCACCCTAACCCTCGCCTCCCCCAACCCAGCTCCAGCTCCAGCTTCCCAATCCGCATCCCCAGCATCCCCCCCAACATGCGGAACCTGCAACCCCCTCTCAGGCGAAAACCACTGCGACGTGACAACCTCATGCATCAACACCGGCACGCGCTTCCACTGCGCCTGTCGTGCGGGATACAAAGCCTCCCGCCAGAATAACGACATCACTAAACAGTTCCGCTTGAATGTCCCCGGGTATCAGTTTCTGGTCTTCACGCCTGAAAATACCCAGTGTGATACGCTGTGCGATAATCCGTACGGAGCGAGTGCGCAGTTGTGTTCTGAGGTGCCGATTTATGGACAGTGTGGGGTTTGAGTTATTGAATTCATTTTGGAGAGAGGTGGAAGGAAGGTTTGGGTGGAAAGGGGGATGGAGTGATAGTTGGGGGGTTTGGGAAGGAAGGGATTTGGTTGATGTCTGTCAGTGGAGGGCTGTTAGGAAGATTGTTACGCTCCTTCTACTAGATATATATTATGCACGTTGTACTGCTTGATTATTCAATGCCATTCATTTAGTTGTGATGATATCAAGAAATAAACACCAAAACACCGGTCCGGGTTCTACCCTCCCACAGGAATCTCACATGGCCTCGTGCACGTCTCTCGGATGAAGATAAATAGTTAGAAAAAATAATCGATGGAAGATAGCAGAAACGTATGACTGCAGACTCGTGCTAAAATTAAGTAATAGCCCTTTTACATGTCCATAGCATCAACAAAGACGAGACGGGTACCACCGCCCAGAACTTGCCAGACCTATAAGATAGAATGATTAGCAGACGCTCATATAGACGTGGTATACAGTAGCTGAACTTACATTGTTATGCTCATACTCGTCAATCGTCACGTTGAGCTGGTCCTCCGTGAAACCCTTGGCAAGTACTCTCTCCCGAATTCTCCTCATGCTCAATTCGCTTCCGTCTCCATCGCCCACAGCCGCAGCACCACTCTCCATCATGCTGCGAATGAGGTAGTAGATCTTGCTGGTGGGGCTCTGGTCCAAGCTTGACTGGCCGTCGTTGGCCAGCGAAGCCTTGCTGACCTCGACCAGGCGCAGGGCCTCGTCGACATCTTCGGTGACAACTTCGTTGCTGAATCGGAGACGTGCCAAGGCCTGCGACAGACGAACAACACCGAGCAGCGTACGGGGCGTAACATGAGAGAACTGCTTCTTCTCTGCCTCGTCCTTCTTCTGCTGCTTCCTCATTCTTACATAGGCTCCGACCATGTAATCGGACACAGCGGAGGGAACAACAGGACGGTAGGTACGCGCCTTAGCAATGTACTGGCGGACTTCCTGAGGCGTGAACATAACGCCGGCATCCTCGTGCTCAGGGTGCTTGTTGTGCATGTGGACATAGGTGACGTGGCTAGCCAGCTCCTCATCTGCTTCGCGCGAAGGGGTATCGAGAATAAGGAACATGACATCGAAACGCGAAAGGAGAGCCGCGGGAAGGTTGATATTCTCAACTGGAGAGATTCGGGGGTTGTAACGGCCGTAAAGCGGGTTGGCTGCTGCCAGGATCGAGGTACGAGCGTTGAGGGTGGTCGTGATTCCCGCCTTGGAGATGGAAATGGTCTGCTGTTCCATCACTTCGTGAATGGCCGTACGATCCGAGTCATCCATCTTATCGAATTCATCGATACAGCAGATACCGTTGTCTGCCAGGACCAGGGCACCTCCCTCCAGGACCATCTCATCCGTCACCGGGTCCCGCATAACAGCGGCAGTGAGACCAACACCACTGCTTCCTCGACCGGTTGTATACACACCACGAGGTGCAACCTTGGCAATATACTTCAACAGCTGGGATTTGGCAACACCAGGGTCACCCATAAGGCAGATGTTGATGTCACCACGAATGTGCAGGCCGTCGCCCATCTCTTTCGTGACACCACCAATCAGGAGCAAAAGCAGTGCCTTCTTCACATCTAGGTGTCCGTAGATCTCAGGAGCAATAGATCGCGACAAGTACTCGTACATATTTCCGGACTTCTGGTACTGGTCGATCTTGCGGAGAGTTCGGCTGTCCATGGCCGTGTCGTTGTATGACTTCTTGTGCTGCGTGATATGCTGGGCTTCCATGTAAGTATCAGTCAGCAAGCCCGCACGGATGGCTCTGAAGCCGGTGTAAGGCGTGGGAAGGAAGATTCCTGCGATGTCAACAACATCTCCCGGGTTGAGCTGGCGTGTGAGACTTCCATGGCAGTGAATTGTCATGGTTCGCGGGATATGGCCAACGGGCACCTGATCCGCCATTTCTTGGATCTTGACCTCTTGGAAAGGAACGAATTTGGAAGCGCGAGTGGAGAGGAACAGCTGCCCCTTGGAGTTGTTCGTCCTGCATTCTTCGGACACACATTCGGACATAGGAAGGAACTGCTTCGTAGTAACCGGTTGGAACACTTCACATCCACAGCGATCACAAGTGTAGGCGTTAATTTCAACAGCTGGCTTGACATCCGAGACACGGGTTGTAATACCCCGAACGGTGATCAAGCCACCAATGTGCTCTGCGCGGACGTTGCGCACTGCAAGGGCCTTGGACTGGCGGTCACTGCTCGAGCCGGAAGGGGTGAGGGGCTTGAAGTTCATGGTGTACCGGCGTGTCAGCTCGGGCGGAAAGATAGACTGGGCGGCATCGGCGTCGGCATTGGCCTCTGCAGCCATGTTCATGGCCTCGTTGCGCTTTTCACGCTGCGACATGATAACATCGAGTACATCATCCTTGAAACTGTGCGCGATTAGCTGCAAGCCCTGAAGGGTAGAATTTTCGACCTACGTGATCTCCTTGCTTTCCTTCGGCATCAAGTCATCAACCGCACGAGAGAAAAGATCGATATAATGGTAGGTGTTCTTCTGCACGGATTCAACAAGCCGCAGGTCCACATCATCCGAAAGGCCTTTCTCATACTGTAGCAGGTCAGACTTGGTCGAAAGATGAGTCGCAATAAGGAAGCACTCACAGTAGCGAGATCGTCCAGCTCGATCAGAATGTTTGTGCGCTCCCGGTCAGCGACCTCCTGCAATACCTGCATGTATTTGAGCTTAGGCTCCCGACGTCTGCGACCAGCGCGCTGTGCGCTGCCCTCCTGGGCGACATCATCCATAAAGTCGTATTCATCGCTGGTGCCATCCTCGTCAATGCGAAGGTCTTCAATGGCTTCTGTCGCAGCCGATTCCGAAGCAGACTCAAAACTTTTGAAGTGCTTCAGAAAATCCTTGAAGGCATCGAGCTGCGCTTCGTAGTTGACGTTGAGGGTGTAAGCGTTCAAAGCCATGATGCTGTAGGGCAACAAACCAGTTCAATTGACCAACAGCTGGCGATGAAGCGGGTTTGTGATGGTGCTAAAACTGCCTGGGGCCGAGAAGGTAAAAGAAAGGCGGCGGTTCGGCCAAAGCGTCCCTTGGCGGAGTTTCTTCCCAGTTGGCGGATTGCCTTTTTCGGCTGCCGCAGCAACACGTCGCGAAACGCGTCGATTTCGCGTCTTTCATGCCATTTCTACTTTATTGCCAATTTAGGACTAGCGTACTTTAGTCAAAGAAGCACGTGTTCTCGGAGAGGAACAACTCTCGGCCCGAACATCGGCGGCGGGCCACCTCGGCCAACGGCATCTGGTTGGTTTGCGGAGTCAATGCGAGTCTAATGAGTCCGGGGAGATGCTGAGGTCTGGTCTTCTCTCATTCTCCCCAAAAACTCCCGACCCCCGACTCCAATTCTTCTGCTGTGTTCGCTGACCGCACGAGCTTGCGATCCTGCGCCTGAGAATGGCGCCCCGAAAGCCCTCCACCACCGCGGAAGTTTCCCTGGTACCTTTGAAGAACTGTCTTGTAAACCTGCCACCGTCGCTGGTCGCACTGCTGGTCAATGCCAACACTGTAAGCTAGTCAACCCACCTGGACAGAGCACGGTGATAATCCAGCCCGGCTGACTTAAAATTAGGCCGCACAAAATGTAATTGTCGAACTACAATATCGCCTACCTACGGGGAGCCCCGCGCTGCGGTCATGCTATCTGGGATGGACTGGAATGCCGAGTAAGCGGAAGCTGGCTCCCGTCGTGGGAAGGGACGGCATCAGCAGTGCTTCTGCCGCCAGGGAGCAGGACATTTCTACTGTAGAGCTGGACACAACGTTTGGAAGACTCTTGGGTCTTACTGATGGCCAAAGGGTAAGTTTGCCGGTCGCGACACGGACCCTCAGATGCTAATGCGCCTAGGTCGGGATATACATCCATCTTGATCCACCCGTTGCGCATACCATTAATATTGAACCTCTGACTCCGGAGGACTGGGAGAGTATGTTTTGGGTCAACTTCTGTCATGTACCGGCATGTCTAACCACGTGCAGTTATTGAGCTTCACGCGACCTTCCTCGAGCTTAACCTTCTGTCGCAGATCCGAGCCCTCCCCAACCCCACATACACGACGCCTCAACCTGATCACATGCACCCTCTTGCATTGCATCTTTCTCCAACATCTACGGCTAACATTGTCATCACATCTTTGACTCCTGCTCCCCCAAATACCTCGCCCTTCGCGAAGATAGCGCCAGATGCGGAAGTCATTGTTGCTCCGAAGACTCGTCCGAAGGCCAACAGAGGCGCCCGGGGAGATAGCCGGAGTGTCACTGGAAGCAGCAGAAGAAGTGTTGGGGGACGGAGTAGTGGAAGCACCGCCCGGGCAAAGGGCAGTCGATCTGACTCGACGAGCAGGGGCTCCCTCTTCTTCCGGGGAGTCGACCGCCAACTGTCGGAGCAGTACTTCGATGAAGAGGCAGAGGAAGACAACGATGATGGGTTCCGTGTTTGGCTTGATCCGGACATGCTTGCCACCAACGAGCTTCGGGGTGCAGGATGGGCTTGCATTTCGGTTGTTCAGCCTGCTGGCCTGAAGGCGCCACCCGACCCGCAGCAACAGGTAGAACAAACGGAACAAAAAGGTAGCGATGTCGGAACACCGGCGGCCAAGCTGGTTGCAAGGTTGATCCCTTGGACTGATGCTCCGGACACCCAGCATATTGCAGTATCCACTCTGTTGTCTGCTGCTCTCGGTGCTGAGGGTATGGTGGGTGGTATTATTCGAGTCGAGGCGGCCCCTCCGCCGCTGCAGCGGTCCACGGTGAAAACGCTCAAGATACATCCTTTTATGGCTGATACGACAAAGAAGAAAGATGGATTGAAATTCGGGTCCGATACTGCGGCAGCGAGAGATGCATTGGCAGAGCGTATCAAGATGATCTATGGGAGTACTGGATCGGATAAGGGGCTACTAGCAGGGCCCTTGACCGATGGGATGGTTTTGCCAAATACAGACTACCAGGCAACAGGACCTAGTTTCGACGGTGCTATTCTCCGATTTGACCCTCCGCTGAAGACTGGTTCCGAAACGGCAAAACCAGCAACAAACTGGCTCTTGGGATCAGATGCTAAGCTGTCGCTGGAAGTGCAGGCTGAGATACCCCGTCCAGCGGAATCAAGCTCCTCCGCCCATCCATCTGAGGACGCAATACCGCCTACTGTTCCTGAACTGGTCGGGATCGACCGCATTATCTCTCAGTCTATCGATAACCTGACCAGATCCTCCTCTATCTTACTTACAGGCGGTCTGGGGTCTGGGAAGACAGCTTTGAGCCATCTACTAGCTCACCGTGTGCGGACGGACTATTTGTTCAACGTGAAATATTTCTCCTGTCGGAAACTGGTTACCGACGAGACTCGGATTTCAAACATCAAAGAAACGCTGAACCGCCTTTTCATGTCCGCTTCCTGGTGCGCACGTCTTGGCGGACAGTCGCTTGTAATTCTGGATGATCTTGACAAGCTGTGTCCTGTCGAGACAGAGCTTCAGGTTGGAGGGGACAATGGCCGCAGCCGCCAGAACAGTGAAGTAATCTGCTCGATGGTGCGCGAGTATTGCACCATGAACTCTTCGGTGGTTCTGCTGGCCACGGCACAGTCGAAAGAGTCCTTGAACAATGTCATTATCGGAGGTCACGTTGTCCGAGAGATCATCCACTTGAGGGCTCCGGACAAGGAAGGTCGCCGCAAGGTGCTGGAGCAACTTACCAGCCAGGACAGAGGTGTCCCACCTGCGTTGAACGGTCATGCACGGAACTCCAGCTCCTCTACGCAAGACTCCTGGTTGAACCCTTCCAATCCAGGAAGTCGTCCCAGCTCAGCGGGGGCAGACGGGTTCGTGCTTGGTAGGGATGTGGATTTCCTGGAACTTGCTGGCAAGACGGACGGGTACATGCCCGGCGATATGGTCCTTCTAGTCTCCCGCGCACGGAACGAGGCTCTTATTCGCTCTGTTCAGGATATTTCATCATCGTCGAGAGCCATCACGCTTGGGGCAGATGATTTTGATAACGCTATCAAAGGCTTTACTCCCGCGTCTCTTCGAAACGTTACGCTCACCTCGTCTACTACGACCTTTGCAGGCATCGGTGGGTTGACTGAGACCCGTAAAATGCTTCTCGAGACGTTGCAGTATCCCACCAAGTACGCGCCTATCTTCGCACAATGTCCTTTGCGTCTGCGCTCAGGTCTGCTACTTTACGGATATCCTGGATGTGGAAAGACATTGCTCGCCAGTGCGGTAGCCGGAGAGTGTGGCCTGAACTTCATCTCCGTCAAGGGTCCTGAAATCTTGAACAAGTATATCGGTGCGAGTGAGAAGAGTGTCCGAGATCTCTTCGAACGGGCACAGGCCGCTCGACCGTGTATCCTCTTCTTCGATGAATTCGACAGTATCGCACCTAAGCGTGGACACGACTCTACAGGTGTCACCGATCGCGTTGTCAACCAGCTTCTGACACAAATGGATGGTGCCGAAGGTCTCTCCGGAGTGTACGTCCTTGCAGCTACATCCCGACCAGACCTCATCGATCCCGCCCTGCTCCGACCAGGACGTCTCGACAAATCTTTGATCTGCGACATGCCCAACCACGCAGACCGACTCGACATAATCCGAGCAGTGAGCGAGAAGCTCGCAATGAACGAGGAAGTCGCTGCTCGTCTGGACGAAGTGGCCACCCGTACAGAGGGCTTCTCCGGAGCTGATCTGCAAGCTGTCGTATACAACGCCCATCTTGAGGCAGTCCACGATGCCCTGGGCGACCACTCCGTAAACGACAAGTCCACGGCCAAGAATGGCACAAAGTCCTCATCAACAGCCACCAGCACCAAGTCATTCATCCAATTCCTCTACTCTGCCTCCGAGCAGGAGGCCGGAAAGGTATCGATGCCTTCTCCAGCTATTGTCGCGTCCAAGCTCGATGCAATCAAGAGCGCACGACGACGCCAGCGACAGTCGGAGCAAGGCACAACAAACAACACTCAGACCGCAGTACCCAACGGGACCGCGCACGAGGAACCGCGTGAGGAGATCATCGTGCGGTGGGAGCACATGGAACGTTCTCTGAACACAACGCGTAGCTCCCTCAGCCCAGCTGAAAGACGCCGCTTGGAAGGTATCTACCGGGAGTTCATCTTCGGACGGAACGGCGAGATGCCTAACGGCGAGGGCAGCCAAGAGATAGGAGGACGGACGAGCTTGATGTGATCCATGTATATTAATACTACATGCATATATTGTTCCACATTTCCACTTTTTGACTTGGTAGTCCTCTAGCATGCTGCCATTTACGCAGTTTAGATTCCTACAGGCTAGAGATCTAACCGTAGATCTTGATCTATTATGGCTGGGAGACTTTCCCTGGCTAGCTTTTACCTTGCGTATGCTATCATCTCCATGCTTTGAGCGAAGAAGGAAGAGACACCAATGAACTCCGTCTGCGAGGTCCCTTCGCCAAAACCTCCTCTAGACTTTCTTTCTTCAATCCCGGCAGTCCCTTTTCGCGCCGGGCCTCAACTTCCTGCCAAAACATAACGACAACTCGGCGAACCCAGCCCTGGTAGTCCTGCGTCCTTGATGATGCTGATGATGTCCCATCATCAGACGTAGCAACTACTTGATCATTCCGCTCTATCTCGCACGACCAACAAAGACAGGCATCATACTCCTCTTTGAAAAGCTGTGAATAAGCCCTCTGAGTAGCCTTGATCGAGCCACTCAGGTTTTTATGCATCACGTTGTCATTATGATCCATAAACTTCCCTACATGTCGAATACAGAACCGGTGATAAGGTTCTGGAGAGAGCTGGTGCGTGTACCAGAATAGATCCACGTCTGATGTCGGGGTAACATATAGGCAATTTGACGGATGAGCTAATTTTAGAAAATTTCGATATTTCTGCTGTGCTCGTGGCAGGGTACCAATTAGTTTTGATAGAGTGGTTGTAGACTGACAGCAGAGGGCTGGTGAACGCAGCCAGCATTTCTTGTGCATCTCGTCGATGAAGCATGTTGCGCGCAGTACTGAGGAGTAGTGAGCTGATGATGCTTGTGTCACTGGGGAGGTTGGTGTGTAGAATGATAGCAATGTCTCTACTGCCCATTTTGGTGTGTTGCTTTCGTAGCTTGCGGTGTGGATAGCTTGGAGGAAGCGTTCGCGCGTGGTGCAGGACTCTAGGATAGACAGTGGTAGTGCTCTTGATAGGGGATATAATGCTTGAGCGAGAGCAGGGTTTGAATATGTTCCCCGTAGTCGGGACTCTCTGGTTTGGCGAAGATGAAGAAGATCGCTGCGGAGTGCGTCCACGGACGGTGCGTAGCCGCAATCGCATCCTAGCTCGAAGCCTTGGTTGATATCTTCAGTTTGAGCGGTGGGTATGATCGGTAAATTTCTGGTGGTGTGGCAGTATGGACAGTTCATATCGTACACTAGCGGATGCGCTTTGTTACAGAGCTCTTCAAGAAGATCGGCTGATTGTCCGGAAGTCTTTTCAAAGAAGTCCCTGGCAGCAGAAGAGATGCAGTATTCGGTCGTCCTGATGTCGATTGCATTAACCTAGTATATTTAGTCAACAGTGGTATTTTTGAGGGCAATTGTTTATTATCCTCTTACCACTTCCTTCCAGGGGAACAGAACCCGGCGCATATGAGGTACGTCCAGCCGAGAACAGTCGTCCTCGTAAATAACAGGCTGTAGCATATACGCGTGCCAGATTATCATAACATCTAGAGCAAGTATCAGCGTGTCCTGTGCAGTATATCATCGTAAAGGGGAGTAACTACCCATAGGAGGTAATAGATTGCCAGGTAGCTCCAAGAAGCCTTCCTCAGGAATCGTATTTGAAAGTTTCTGGTTGACTGCATGCCACCACGAGTAGAATCGAGGAATAGCAACCTCCATAAGACCGGCCAATAACTGACTGTGAATTTTCTCATGGTTTGACTGCGGGTCTACACTGTTCGCCGAGAGCAAGGCAAGCAGTTTTATGGCTGTCTCTCCACTGGTTGCATTTCGCTTCCACGCCCACATAGCTTCCATTAACAGCAGATGAGCAGCTGCTTGAGCTACAGACGGGACAGAATCTTCTGCCACGTGAGACAATCCGGAAGGGCTCATAATAGATGTGTCAGGAGCAGAAGCCTCTTTCTCCTGCGTGTCCGCTTCGGTGAAGACTGGACGCTGTGTGGTTGCCAATGGGGCATCTAGAATGTTTTTGCTGGCTGGTTGAATGCCGGACAAGACTGTGGACACAATGGAGAGCACTGCCATTGTGGATTGCGTCTAGATGTAAGTAATGGCTTTTGAAACCCAGACGCAATTGCCCTTATCAGTTTCGAGATGAGACGGTCTATATAGCATGCTCCGGGGGCACAAGTAAATCGAACCCGGCCATGTATATTCTAGCTCCTCAAGTCCATGGGAGCTACATTTGAGAAGGTGGATCCATTTGTTTGATTGAACCATGTCACGACTACCCGGAAATGAGAGTTGTGAACTCTAAAAATCCTATCGATGAGTAGAGGGAAGGATAATACATAGGGCCTATTGTATCGAGTTCTAAAGCACCAATTCAAGGCCCCAATAACGACATATAGGCGTTGTTAATTAGCGATGTTCGTTGTACCGGTTGCAGTCGCGATGATTCATCATTAGATTTGCCTGAATCTCTCTCGGATATCGCCGATGAGACCCATCCGGACTCAGACAAGCAGGGTTTCAGTATCAGCATTTACTGACCGTCAGGGCATGAATGGCACCTGCAGTGAGTGCTAGTCGTTGCAGCTGGTCGCATACCCAGCCAGACCTTACACTTATTTCTATGTATAATGTCGTGAGTATCGCTACCGCATCTGTATAGCAGAAACCAGCCTCGTAGAATCCTGGAATTCACTGACGAAGAAACATTTGCACGACGTTGCAGGCATGTTGTTGATCTTGATGATCAGCATGACTCGTTCAACCACCAAACCCCCGCGGCTCCGAGGAAACTGTACTAATACTACGTAGTATTACAGTCTTGCGGATTTCCCCGATTATGTTACACTTGAGACCCACTCATCAGCTGGGGTAACTCAAGCATCCGCGGAGTATATGTGCCAAGCTGTCAGGCACTCTAGAAGTTTTACCACACTATCACCCCCTTGTAATAGGACATATAGGGGAAGCGATGGCATTGTTATAGTTATCGAGCAATAACTCTCCAGCATACAAAAACTCATTTTTCTATCCTCGAAAACATGTTTCACGATGCTTTTGAATAATTTTTGGTAGATGATCATGCTTGATGTATTCAATAGTGATTAATGAATAATGTTTTCATGGTACATGAGCATGTTAGTATCGAGAGTGAATGCAGGAGTCACCTATCCTACCCCTAGTGTTGTGGTGGTGAGTAGAGCACTCCGTAGGTGATCTCCGAAGCGCAAGCCACCTACAGTACTTTCCTGAATCTACGAACAACAAGCATTTGCAGATCGTAGCTTCCTTTGTTTGGTGTGTCTTCCTCCCCCAAATTTGAATGGTGGGTGTTATACACATCTCCCGTAATAGAAATTCCGAATTATGCATGTGCCAGGGACACCAAAACCATTTGGCCGTGTTATGCTTCATCCTGTGACTATCAGCTAGACACAAGAAACGCCATATCATCTCTGCACTTTTGCATGATTTCTTGTGGATCAAAAGTGCCAGATCCTCAGGTCAATTGCAGACGAGGGAAGAGCAGCCATCTGCAAATTCCACCTGACACTTGTGATGTAAAGACGAACGGTTAGAGTCCCCTCGCCGTGATCTGCTTCAGTGGGAAAGAACAATATTCTCATGTAGTCGACCCTAGGACCTTTTCCCATTACCGTGATGGCAGTCTCCCAGTCAGCGAAGGTCACTTTATTGTCTCCAAAATTTCGATCGCCGAATTCCAAGACAGATTTTACTTCCCGTGCCCATGACTATATGAAAGGCTAATTATTAGGAGGCTATCTCGGAAGGGGTATTTGTCACTTATTTTATTACCTTTTCCAGCTTTGGCGCTTCAGCCCCCAGAAATATATAACGCACACGATTGTAAGAGTCAGCCGGATCCAACGCGGTCAGCATAGAAGGTGTTAAGTTCAAGGCTTCGCAGCTTGTCGCAACCTCTGGGAAGTCTGATGATGAGGCCATCACGAGTGTGGCCCCCTTGGCCAAAGTCATCCAGACAACCACAGCACGGCCATCAAAAGCGATGGAGAACGCAAGAAGGCAGCGACCGCCTTGCTGCGCGGCGTCCTATAGCTCCTGGCTATGCTGCACGGTACAAACGGCATGTATGCCCCTGTGATACACCATCACTCCTTTCGGCTTGCCCGTTGTGCCCGAGGTAAAGATAATCCATGTAAGGTCATCGGCCTGCATACCGCGTCGGCATGCCTCCAACTCTACTTGTAGGCCGTCCTTGTTTGGTGGTGACAAGACGAGCCATTCTCTCTGAAAATTGACCGTAAAGACAGGTAGTCGGAGGTCAGGACAGGGGCTCGTCATGACCGCTACCGTGGAATTCAGCTCGGAGAGGGCGGCCTCGATACGAGCACGACTATAGGCGGCCACGTCCATCGGTACATAGCAGGCTCCTACTCTCAAGATCTCAATCACTGCCGGAAGCATCTCCAGCGACATTCGGGTCAACAGCGGGACTCGGGCGCGTGGCAGTACACCGGCCAATAATAAGGCGTGACTAACATGGAGAGAGACATCGCGAAGAGCCCCGTAGGTGAGGGATTGGCCTTGCCACTCCGCTGCGACTCGCCCGGGGAATCTGTCGGCCCATTGGTCAAAGAGATCGACGACGGTGTCGTCTAGTGGCTCTGAAGAATAGGAGTCATTCATTGTTGGAGTGGTGAGATTGGACATAGGTTAATATGAAGAGATGAGCTGGGAAGGATTGCGTAGCATTGATGTCGAACGCTTCGGCGATGGGCTAAATAGCTTGATTCTCAGTATACGTAGATTATATCCACTTCTGCATTTTGGCATATCCGTTTAGGATAGGGTATAGGTTGGTAGTTTCACGGCTGACCTTCGATGGCTTACAGCTGGATTAGACGCTGCTGACGGGCACGAATTGCCCGATATGTGCCCAGGAGGGGTCTAATCTCAAGTAAATGCCTGAATACAGAGACTACTGCTACCTAGTACACGTCTCATGATACTGCCCTGATCCTAATCTAGTGCCGGAAAAGGTACTAATGGCGCCTTGTTCCGTCGGCCTATAGCAAGTGCCAGATAAGGCATACTACCCCTGCATCAACTCTAGGCTGGTAATTAGGGCTTGCTGGACAAAATGGCGTGTGCGCTAGTGACTGCACTTATAACGCAGCTTCACCGTCAGCTCTTACTCCGCCCGCCAACTGAACCTCTTCCTCCCCCTTCTCTTTTCCCCGAGAGAGTAGAGACCCGGAGGAGCGGGATCCGGCGTTCTCAAAATGTCCTTCACTAATGGGGAGGGCGATATGCTCCACTTCGACCAAAAGCAATTTGACTTCAACCTTCAATTCGAGACTCTCTTTTTCTCGATTATTCCTTCCATCCTGTTTATTCCATCATCGCTATGGCGAATTCTAGCAGGGATACGCAGGCCCGTCGTGGTGAATGCACCCGTCTTGCAGTTCATCAAAATAGTACGTCCTCTATTACTGGGTAAACGGTTTCTGCCCACTGACTGCTTAGGGGGCCATCGTAATCTACGCTGGCTTAGAGCTTGCTCTCCTCATTCTCGCCGCGGTCGGCTTCTTTCACATTAGCCGCATGTTTATCGCTTCTTCCGTTCTCCAGCTGCTATCAGCCTTGTTCATGCTGACAGTGAGTATGGTGGACCACAGCCGCAGCCCTAGACCCTCCATGCTGCTGAACAGCTACTTGTTTCTTACTCTACTCCTGGACATTGCCCGAGCAAGGACTCTATTCCTGTCGTCAAACTACATTTCCGAGGTCGCATATAGCAATTTATTCTGTGCATCGGTCGGGCTGAAGACCGCCATCTTGGTGCTAGAGGCCTGCCAGAAGGCGAAATGGGTGGTCTGGGATGCAACGAAACACAGCCCCGAGGAGACGAGTGGGATCTTCTCCCTAGGTGTTTTCTACTGGCTGAACAAGCTCTTCTTGGCTGGGTATAGATATACCTTCACCATCGAAAGCCTTTACCCCCTTGACAGTACCTTCGACGCACAAGCCCTGCATGAGGAATTTGCGAGAAAAATGGACTATACTAAGCTAAAGGGGGATAAATTCGGCCTTCTGAAGGTGCTAGTACGTACATTGTGGGTGCAACTACTCCTTCCTATTCCTCCGAGGGCGGCTTTGATTGCGTTCTACATCTGCCAACCTCTATTCATTGAAAGCCTCGTCACGTATTTGTCTCAATCGGAGCCCGGTCCAAATGTGGGATATGGGCTTATCGGCGCTGCCATACTCATCTATTCCGGGATTGCAATCTCGTACGGCTTGTACTGGTACTGCCACCATCGACTGCGGACAATGGCCCGCTCCATCCTAGTCACTGAGACGTTTAAAGCCGCCACCAGAGCTCGGATGGGATCAGGTGATGATAACGCTGCGCTGACACTTATGAGCACCGATATGGAACGCATCCGAATGGGACTTCGCTTCGTGCATGAGACATGGGCGAGCTTGATTCAGGCTGGTCTCGCCGCCTGGCTGCTCTATCGGAAACTTGGGGTCGTGTTCGTTGCTCCTGTCGGCATGGTGGTAGTCTGCTTCGTTGGATTAGGAATTCTAATCAACTTCACTGGGGACTCACAGCGGTCTTGGATGTCCGGGGTCCAGAAGCGAGTCGGGCTTACAGCCACCGTCATTGCCAGCATGAAATCACTCAAGGTATCCGGCCTTGCTGGTCCCGTGACGGAGTATGTGCAGCAGCTGCGTGTCGATGAACTCGCCGCTGGTGCCCGATACCGCAGGATTATGATCATCGCCGCTGTCTTCGCATTTATGCCGCAGTTGATCAGCCCTCCGTTAACCTTCGCGTTTGCCCAAAAGACGCTGAATGCCTCGACCATGTTCACCGGTCTTTCATTCCTGACTTTGTTGACTCAGCCGCTGTCGCAGCTCTTCCAGTCCGTCCCAGAGCTGGTTTCAGGCTTGGCCTGCCTGGGTCGGATTCAGGCATTTTTGGAATTGGAGCCTCGTCGGGACTATCGGCAGCCCCTGGTAGAAGCCCAGAGTGGCGGCTTGGAGAATGATTCCAATTATATCGTCATCCGAGCCGCGAGCTTTGGATGGAAATCAGACAAGTTTGTCCTGAATAATATCCATACTCAAATTCCTACATCGTCCCTCACGATGGTCGTCGGTCCAGTTGGCTCAGGAAAATCCACATTCTGCAAGGCCCTTCTAGGTGAGATGCCCTTCAGCCAAGGTAGCATCGCGATGCAGACTTCCCCACGCCACGTCGGCTTCTGTGAGCAAACTGCTTTTCTGTGGAACGGTACAATCCGAGAGAACATCGTCGGATTTGCCCCTTTTGACCGCAAGCGGTATGACCAAGTCATTGAAGCCACTTCCCTGCGCTTCGACCTCGCTAATCTGTCCCATGGGGACCAGACGAACATCGGGTCGGATGGTGTAGCATTATCGGGCGGGCAGAAACAGCGTCTGTCTCTTGCGCGAGCACTATACCTACCAGCCAACCTTTTGGTCTTGGATGATGTGTTTAGTGGCCTGGACGCTGATACCGAGGAAAAAGTCTTTCGACAGGTCTTTGGATCAGATGGTCTCCTGCGACAACGGGGATCAACGGTGGTTCTGTGCACCCATAGTGTTCGGCATCTCCCAAGCGCGGACTACATCATCGTCCTCGGAAACGGCAGCGTTGAAGAGCAAGGCACCTTCATTGATTTGTCCACCCGTCCGGGTTATGTTCGGCGTTTGAAGGTGGGACTAAAGCAAGAGGGCGAGGATAATACTATCGCTGACGATGAGCCTGGTCCTGGTCCGTATCAGGAACATAAAGACCAGGCGGAGGCTGACAAGAAACTCCAACATGAGATCACTGTCAACAGCACGCAATCATTCACCCCAATTACCCCAGTTATGGCCGCCGCGCGGCAGGTTGGTGACGCCACCGTCTATAAGCTATATCTCAAAAGCATGGGATGGTCTGTGGCGGCTTGTAGTCTTTTCTTTGCGGCCCTGTGGGGTCTGTTCACCAATTATCCAACGATCTGTGCGTCTCTGCTGCTCCCCTCCATCTCCAATGTCCTTAATAACTCATTGTATCAATGCAGGGCTCACATACTGGAGTGACGCGACCGACTCCGTCCATCCTGCGCACTCTCACTCCTACTATGCGGGCATCTATGCCCTCCTGCAGGTCTGCGCCATCCTCGCCCTCCTCCTCCTAGGGATAACGCTCTTCATTATCTCGGTAAAGAAAGCCGGCGCCAATCTCCACCAGCAAGCCTTGCGTACCCTGATTCGTGCCCCGCTCGCCTTCTTCACTAATACTGACACCGGAGTGGTCACGAATCTCTTCTCTCAGGATCTCAACCTCATCGACACTGAACTCCCCGAGGCGACCCTCAACACCCTCTTTTGCGTATTCCAGTCGATTGGCCAAGCCGCCGTGATGCTTACCTCGTCCATCTACCTAGCCATCAGCTACCCGATCCTGGGCGCCTTGCTCTACTTCGTGCAGAAATACTACCTCCGTACGTCGCGGCAGCTACGATTACTCGACCTGGAGGCCAAGAGCCCGCTGTACACGCATTTTCTTGACACTCTCAAAGGGGTTGCCACGCTGCGCGCCTTCGGATTCGTCCCGGAGGACATTCACAAGAACGCCCGTCTAGTGGACTCCAGCCAGCGCGCGGCGTATCTCCTTCTTATGATCCAGGAGTGGCTGAATCTGGTGCTTAATCTTGTTGTGATGGTCATCGCGGCGGTCCTGACCACGCTGGCCGTCCGGCTACGTTCCAACTCGGCCTTCGCCGGTGCATCCATGTACTCGCTCATGACCTTCGGCGAGAGCCTATCCGGGATCGTGATATATTACACCCGACTCGAAACCTCCATCGGCGCGATCGCACGAATAAAGACGCTCAACGAGACCGTCAAGCCAGAGGACCGTGACGGTCCCGGAGAGGAGGACATCGTCCCAGACACAAACTGGCCGGATCGCGGGCTGGTCGAGTTGCGCGGTGTATCCGCCCAGTACAAATCCACCACCCATAGCGTGTCTGAATCTGGCTCTGAGTCCAACTCCAATCGCATGGCAACAACTTCTGGTGCCACCACTACTGAGCCACAAACCTTAGCCTTGAGGAATATCACTTTAACCATCTCCCCAGGGGAAAAGATCGCCATTTGCGGCCGCACCGGCAGCGGCAAGTCCAGCTTCCTCGCTCTCCTGTTGAAATTACTCGATCCACTTTCCTCTCCTCCAATCGACCATGAGAGCAGCAGTCTCAATGATGACCAAAGTCGTCAGAGCGCTCCGGTCTTGATCGACGAACTCCCACTGCACCGCATCCACCGCGCGACTCTCCGCCAACGCCTCATCGCCGTCCCCCAGGACCCTGTTTTCCTGCCCGACGGCTCCTCTCTCCTGGCGAATCTCGATCCAACCAACACTGCAACCCCGGCGGAATGTCAGCAAGTTCTAGAAGCGGTCCGGCTGTGGGAATTCGTGCAAGAACAGGCAGAGGGGCTGCTCGCGCCGGTCACGGCGGGGACTTGGAGCGCTGGGCAGAGGCAGCTCTTCTCGCTGGGACGGGCAGTCCTCCGAGCTAAGATTCACCAGCGTGCACAGTCTTTATCCTTCCCCAACGATGCGGGTTCTAACAATGCAGCGCAAGGGGGGGGAATACTCCTCCTCGATGAGGTAAGCTCCAGCGTGGACCGCGAGACCGAGCAGATGATGCAGGAGATTATTCGGGCAGAGTTTCGGGCGTACACCATCATCGCGGTCAGCCATCGGCTCGAGATGATCATGGACTTTGATCGGGTAGTGGTGATGGACCGCGGGGAGGTCGTTGAGGTAGGGAATCCGGTAGCCCTAAAAGAGGCGTCTGGTACGAGATTCGGTGAATTGGTGGCCGCCGCTGGGGCGTAGGCAACTTCTCATTATTCTTCTTAATTTGACTACTAGCTTCTACCCAGGCACAACTTAATTTAGTTTTGAAATGAAATCATGGGCATATGTAATTGTACCGTTGACGGCGAAATACAATCGAACACCGACCAAGCACTAAGAGACAACGGGCACATTCGTACTCGCAGCGTCCAAAAATGTCCTACAAGCCCCCCGCAAAACGCGCATACAGCCCTAGCAAATGCCGTCGCTGCCACCATCAGATCCACGCTCATTCCTGTTGCCAGGCACATCATCCATCACCCATTCATACCGCATGGTGGAATTGCGCATGCGCGTCTCTACGTGGAACACGCCTGACCGGAAACCCAGCGCCTGCAGACTCTGGCCGGGCCTCCAGCGTCGCCGAAGTATCGTCCCCGGAGCACGGGAAAATATCTGTCACCTCGAGGAACAGCACAGTCCCATTCAGGAGGACGAAGTTGGCGTCCAGCTCGGGCCCTGCGATGTACGTTTCCAGCATGATGCCTTGCTCGGCGAGCCGGGGATCCTTTTGCCCCAGTATCGCCGTCAAGCCTTGCCGGGGCCAGTTCTCCACCGGCGTGTGATGAAGGTCTCCGACGAACCCAGCCTTCGACAAGCGGTCGCGATGGTCAAAGAAACCATATACAGAGGAGGTGGGAAACACCGGTGCTAACATTGCAACATACACTGATAGCTATCATCTGGGAAACGAGTACCTGTCCGGTCTTGGAATCCGTTTACAATGAGGGAGATAATGTACGCGGAATTTGGATTGGGAAGAATGACGACTCTACATGTTCGACGAGATCCGAGCGCAGGGGAGGTTGGAACTGGGCGTCTTGTGACCCAAATGCTAGGAATCGTCGGATTTATGGCATCTCTGGCAAACTGGGACTCTTCGTGGATCAATAAGATAGGGCTTCTTGTTTGGTTAGAATTTCTCCTTTGGGGACCACGGGTGTCGGTCGGGTCGTTGAATTGCTTATAAGCTTAGATATGTTCACTGTGTGCCTTGCTTCAAGGGTTCCTTCTCTATGCTGTCATTTGGAAGCAAGGTATAACTATCACAGAGTTACCAAGTTCTGATACAATCTGATGTGCGTATAATCGCACTGTACACTGTGTAGTGTCACGCTTGCGTATATCCTTTTCACCTCATGCAACAAAAACGATGTTTCATCCCGCTATCTCCCACCTATTCATCGCAAGACTAATCCCTTCGACCACAACAACTTACCTGATCTAATGAACGAATTCAATATGCAAATAAGCCATAACCTTTACACAAAGAGCAAGTAGTACCTGCGGCTATACTACTACTAGTGAAGGTTCAGTAGTAGCACCTCGGCCGATTTGATGTTCCTCCCTTCCCGCCCCTCGCCTAACCAACCAATCAGAGCTCTCCGTTCTTAAAAATCTTTCCTATATGATTCAAAGTATAGATGTAACTGGTGCCTTCGGGCATTTGGTCAATTTGAAACGATACAGAGAAGATTAGCATGGCCCCTGCACTAAGGATGACACGCTCAATCAAAGAGAAGCTACCAGTTTTTTTTGCAACTTTTACAGACGCCTTTTGAGAGGTTAGCTCTTTTTGTGGTCTCGGGTGTGGTTTGTAGAGGGAGGGGGTTCGAGTCGCGGTGGGATCCGTAGTTCTTTTTTTTTTTCTTTTCTCACACCCCTCTCCTCCCTCTTCTTGCATATGGGACACGTTGGTCAGCAGCACTATGTGGGGCGGTATTAAGCGTCACTGGGATTCCTAATAATATTAGGGGCCAAAAGAAGACATTAATTTCGAATATTACTTCATAATGGGGCATGTGATATGCACAAGTGTAATGGGGAATGACTACAATTCAAGGGGTCCATTGAACTTTTCCTTGCGATGCATGAAGGTGGTCTACAACAAGCGTAGTCAAAAAGGAAGGATACAATTGCCGTCCTCCTTGTTCAACTTCAGCTGAGCTGATCAGGATCCTAGTAATGACCGACAGGAACGTTCCACTAAAACTCCTCTCATCCTTGTGTGCATGGCTTCCTAGTATGAATCGCCACAGCCCAGGTTCCTGCATCTCGTAGCACGGACTAAAGAATCCTTTTGTGTTTTACACACACACACACAGTCAGGGCTTAGTGACGGGCCTTATACCGAGGTGGGCAGTGCCACCGTGGGGCGTGGACGGCAAGTTTAATTGTCGTACGTAGGCCTGCGCGGGGTAGTTAATTAAGACTTGTGGAGTAGGTAATAGACGGCGACGTTATACTTGCATTTTAGGGGTTATTCTCGAAATATCCGCTCCGACATATCCGCTCCGGACGGCATTCTTTTTTTATCATTGAGGTTATATAGTTGGTAGGGTGATGATAACTTATATGTGTTTTTAAACCCTCGCCGACGCTGTAGAGGGTAATTTTTCTCGCGCTGGTGGAGATACTCATTCTTTAAAGGGTCCACCATGCACATACCTTGATGTTCGGTGTAACAAACCCTTTGTTGCTATTCAGGACGGCGGACGCGCCGAGCCGAGTTTCAGGAACGGCTTGAATCGAAACGACGCAATGCCACCCTCGGCGGAGGCTACACCTTATTAGGCAATCCTCGCTGGAGAATTAGAGCGAACATCTCTTATCTGGTGGATATAGGTTGATGTACGTTATTCGGAGCGGCTTGGCTGATTGTGAAGGAAGGCCATCGCCGAACTCTGGATTGGAAATTACATCCGAGCCGTGCAAGGTAGCCTGTTGCTGGGAAATAATTATGTCTTTTGTATTGAGTCATGGTCGTTGATGATCAGTTCTACGTGAACGGGACTGGGTTAGCCTGCGGGGTTATAATCACACTGCCTTATAGAGTTGTAAAATGGAAGTTTCCTGCCATGCGACGCTCGGTCATGTTGGCCTGAATGATCGACAAGAAATATTCAGCTTAGTTCTAAGCACTGCACAGAAACGAATACTAGGGACACTTGATTGCTTTGAATCATGGCGGGTTCCGCACCGCTCCTAATCATAACCGCTTGGGATGGCTGACTTTGAACGAAACAAGCATCCTTGCAATGCAGCCAGAGGAATTCAGAACCATCTATCGGATCAGGTGGACTCGATTGCTATATATACAGCAGCGAAATTAGTTTATGATAAAGAACAATGAACTCCGAGTCTTCTCGTTGACACCACTTACAATAATCCGAAGTTGGACCCTCCAATCCATTGAAGGACTGTCCCTTCGGTGGAACGAACCCCCTATAGACTAAATGATGGACATGCTCGGCTTCCCAGTTGGTGCGAGTGGAGAACGGCGGCCATCCGTCGACGGTCATAAACGCGCGTTGAAGGAAGCTGCAGAACGGCCCATGTTGATTAGAGCCAACTCTATCCAGATAAGGCTCCGTTGATGGGAATTAAAAGGACAGGGCAGAAGACGGCACGGTGGAAAATGTCATTACCATCCATCATTATGCTTATTTATAGTGGGGGGCAAACAATCTGGTTAATTATTATCTGCTGTTTCTCGTGGCAGCCGGCCTGCTTTCCATTCGCCTTGTTTCTTGGACTTGACCTGAAATTACTTATCCTTTGCCGTGCACTTTTCTTGGAACCTGTCTGGCTTTTATTTTTATCTGTATTATTTAGTCTGTCAGCCACTTCAGCCGGTATTCTATCGCAATACCCTGCTGATGTCATTCCAGTCAATATCATACAATGCAGGTCCCGGTATTCTGGCACTCAATTGGACGGCGGCGGCCATCGCCATCCTGGTGATGATCCTGCGAGTCATTGCCAAACTCCGCATTCGACATTATGCAGTGAATGACACGGCTATGTTATGTGCGCTGGTTGGTTCCACGAAATTGGCGAAAGTCATGTTCAGCTGATTAATGCGCATCAGGTACTAGCTCTGGCGGCATCCATCATGATCACTTTGGCTATTGCCCATGGCTACGGGCGACACTTTTGGTACCTGAGCCAGGCAGATCAGGTGCTGGCCTTGAAGTATTACACGGGCTTCCAATGTCTATCGATAATCGCCACTGGCGCTGGAAGAGCTGCCTTTACGCTTTATTTATTGAATATCCTACGTCAAGAGAGGTACTTAGGATGGATCCTGTGGTTCATCTTTGCGTTGCAGATCATCATCAATATTGTCTCAGTGGCTACCATCCTGGCGCAGTGTCAGGACGTTGACTCTCTGTGGGATGTGCGTGTGAGCACGACATGCTGGGATCCAAACGTCGAGCGTATCTACGGCTATGTGCAGTGCTGTATGTTGATTGACCCAACCAGAAAGAAAGAGGACACTGACAGGTATTATAAAGCGATCAATACTGCATCCGATCTTTTTCTCGCCGTCTTCCCAACCTACACTTTCTGGAGCCTGAGCTTGAGACTGCGCGTCAAAATAAGCCTCGTCGTGTTGATGGGCTTTGGTTTAGTGTTCGTATTCTTTCGACGAGTGGCCTGCACATAATCTCAGATCGCTAACTACACGCTCACAGAGCTATGGTGGCATCGATCATGCGAATCGTCCACCTGGGATCTATCGCTGAGCGTGGCGACCCAACTGCAGTGACGGTGCAACTCACTCGATGGGCGCTGACGGAGTGTTATCTGGTTATCATCACGGCCTCCATGCCATGCATTCGGTCCCTGATTATCGCGTCTGTCCGAAATATCTCGAGTGGCAACCGTTCGCGAGTAGTCGGATCACAATATAAAATCAGTCCGCCAATTCCCTGTCGCGCAGAATACAGCACCTGGGCGGATGCACCGCCACCAAACAGTCGAGAATATATTCTGGGCAGCTATCCTATGGAGCGGGAACGAATGGGTGGGCGCGCAATCACCAAACAGGTGGATATCATGGTGATCAGGAATCGCTCGAGGAGCACGAGGAAAGGATGACCATCGCCGGTAATGATGAGCTATATATATATTTTATGTCTGGTAGAATACTACCAGTGGTTATGTCTGATGGATTGCGATGAATGATATATAGTCACCCTACCATGATACTACTTAGTACTGTGTGATGATGATCTGACAAGTAAGACCCAGATCGGTGGTATGAATGCTTGTCGCTTCTCGATCTAAGGGTACCCCGAACCCCTGAAATCCATGTTGTGGTCCAACCCCAAAGACCAGCCATGGTTCTAGGAATTCAAGGCTGTTGATTGCCGAATGCCGGCCAGTTCCTCGGCGTGAATGTGGAGAGACGGGCGGCGGCGATCCGTGGCGACTCTCCACCACTTTTCTCCCCAACAAGCGTTTACTAACCCCGACCCCGGCTTGCGGGCTTATCTTTTGCAGTGCCGAGGGCCGAGCAACTGCTCCCTGCGCTCTCTTTAAACAGCGGTCTATCATTCCATTCCTCTCTCCTTCCTTCATTCCTCACTGACGAGCGCATATACAAGAGACCATCTCCCCTCCTTATTTTTACCTTCGTGATCGCCCATTTCTGTACAACCCTGCGCCATCAATTCCCCGATCTCCGTTTTCTCCCCTTCCCCGGCCTTTTTCCCCGCACAACTCCGCCATGCCTGTCTCCTCACGCTATCCACCCGTCGACATTCCAGACCTTGACATCTGGTCTTTTCTATTCGAACGCAGAGATAAGCCTTTCCCAGATGATAAGGGTATGTATATTCTCTATCAACCATCACAACACTTCATGCGAAG